ATGTATGTATGCATGTATGTATGTATGTATGTATGTATGTATGCATGTATGCATGTATGTATGTATGTATGTATGTATGTATGTATGTATGTATGTATGTATGTATGCATGTATGTATGTATGTATGTATGCATGTATGTATGTATGTATGTATGTATGTATGCATGTATGCATGTATGTATGTATGTATGTATGTATGTATGTATGTATGTATGGCATCATCGCATTTTAGAATCTGAAAACCACCAATATCAATGTTCCAAAATCACTTTTTCAATATATTTTATGTTATTTTATTAACAACTTTACAGTATAAGTTTTAGTTTCCATGTCCAGATATAACAATAATTATTATTAGGTCTTGCTTTGTTAAATATCTTATACTAAGGAACTGAATATTTCAATGCCAGTGTCAGTCTATTTCTTGAGTTTTGTATTTATACTTTAGTACAAATACTACCTGTGCTGTTCTTCTTTAAGACAGTTTGTAGGCTGGAGGGAATACTAGTAGATATAGTAATTGCATTAGTTGTAGTACTGGGACAGCAGAAATAGTAGTAGCAGTAGTAGTAATAGTAGTTCTTGAGTTTTGTATTTCTACATTAGTACAAATATTGTCTATGAGAAAGTGTGTCTCTATTGAAAAGGCCAGGAGTAGTTGTAGTAAAATAGTGATTGCATTAGTAGTAACATTAACAGTAATCCTGGGGTAGCAGAAGTAGTAGTAGTTAGTAGTAGTAGTAGTAGTAGTAGTAGTAGTAGTAGTAGTAGTAGTAGTAGTAGTAGTAGTAGCAGCAGCAGCAATAGTATAGCACATGTATTAGTAATGGCAGATGTTCCAGTAGTAGCCACAGAAACAGAAGAACCATGAGTAGTATTTGTTATTATGAATGAAATTAGCTCGATAGTTGTTTTAGATCAGTCTGTCTAACTTGATTTATCCCCGAGGAGCAGTTTGAAGTTGGAGCAAGAGGTTAAATGAAAATCCCAGTTACAGGCCTAAGTACTTCCTGATTGGCTGTAGAGTCTGGCTCCTAACAGCTCCGTGAAATATTGATGAAGAGAAAGTGCCTAAACACAGCTACACAGAGCAGCCTCAAAACCACAAACGGTGACACTGAGCAGCCCCGGCCCGCAATGCACCATGGGAGTTCACCTGCTCTGCTCCACAATGAGACAAGTCAGTTTTGGCAGGAATATGAGATTGATTCATCACTAGAGTTTAAAGGGTTTATATAAGGCTATTTTCTGATCTGTGTTCTAATGTAGTTTCCACGTCACAAACAGACCTGGAGTTGTGTTTTGTTTCATTTGCACGTGTTTAACATATAAAGCCTGCAGATTTAGAGTTAGTTTAGAGTTCTTCTCTCAAACTGAAAAAGGTCTGGTCCACCTTGTGATGTCATGTGGTAATACAGGAAGTGCTCCACTGAATTTTTAAACTCCATACATTTTTACAAGAATCATTTGGATGATTTCTGTCCTGGAATTGCCAATCTCTACTGAACAAAAAAGGAAAAGGGTAGCTGTTGACTGGAAACTACCACTACATGACATCACAAAGTGGAGCAGAGCATTTTGAGCTTTAGGGATGTAAACAGACTAATAATAAAGGGTTACTCAAACATGTGTGAATGAAACAAAACACAACTCCAGGTCTGTTTTTGAGGAGGTAACAACATTATAACCTGACTTAAAGCTCACACGAGTCAGTTTTGTGTAATATGTAGTTGTAGTACTCAAGACAGGCCTTAGTCTCAAGAACGGCCTCGAAACCGGGTTTTTATGATCTTGGTCTCGTCTTGGACTTGACCACGTTTGGACTCGGTCTTGTCTCGGTTTTGAAGGCGTTTGGACTCGGTCTTGTCTCGGTTTTGAAGGCATTTGGACTCGGTCTTGTCACAGACTCAAGGTCTAACTCTGGTCAGGAACTTGGAAAAAAACAGGTTTAAAAATCCTACCCACTTTCTTCACTTTCTTCACAGTTTTGTGTAAAGTGCCAGTGGAGTGTTTAAGTGCAGCACAGTTTGCTTGTCTTATTTTAAGCTTAAATTAACATTTATCAGATAAAATAGAGGTAGATCTATGCCAGAATAACTGTAAAATATAAATAAATGTCGAAAATGACAAAGATGGTCTTGATTTGGTCTCAGTGGGCTGTGGCCTTGGTCTTGTCTCGGTCTCGACCTTTAAAAGTCTCGGTTTTGTCTCGGTCTAGACTCTCAGAGGTCTTGGTCTTGTCATGATCTTGTTGGAACCCTGTGGTGTCGGCCTGTTCTTGGTCTCCATTAGTGCGCTCTTGACTACAACACTCTAATATGGGGCCTTTAAGACCATTTAATTACACAAATAAACTCAGGAATGTTTAACTTTTTTGAACAACTAACAATACAATATTAAATGAATTGTCTATTCTTTTTCTTTTCTTCTACAGCCCCTTTTTCCTACTCGTTTCCTGTTCCCACCATCTGCTTTAAAGAGTTATAGTGACCTTCAAAAAAGTCTGTACGCCTGAAAGGTTTTGTCAAAATAGTCTTCTTTTTTTGTTTTCTTTTTCCTCTGTTTTTTAGCTCCAAATGTCTGGACTGGTTTGAGCGATAACTACCGCTGCTAAACCGCCTCTTTAACCTGGTCACAACTACACACTTTTGAGTTTTGTCCTTTGTTCTGTTCATTCTCTCTCTCCTCGCTTCATGTTTTTCAATCCCTTTTTTATTCACGATGTAATGGGCTTTTTTTTTTCACCTTTTCGAGCAGATGGCGAAAGCTGGTGAGTAACATTTTTTGCGCGATTTGTTTCAACTTAACCCACTCCTCCGGGGCGTTGGGGGCTCCTGTCTGCTGCGTTCAAGTCTGTTTGTGAACTCCTCGTAATCAACCGAACAGAGGATCCTTCGCCAACGTGTATTCAAAATTTCAAATACATTCATGAAAAGTGTTGGTATTGTTTCATTGTGATTCATAATAGACGATATTTCAAATGTACTTCATAGATTTGGACTTTCAGGCACTAATACAAGTACAAGTTGGGGTTTACGTTTACCGAGAGGTCTGTCTATCGGAAATATGCAAGTAAAATTTATTTTAACAATATTTATGTCGATCTAAATACCAAATATACTTATTGTAGTGTTTAATTAAGCTTGGATGCAAAGAAAATGACTAGAAATTGAGGTTGGACATGGACCTTGTGAATATAGTGGTGGATCAGGGTTGGTAACGTTTTTGTTGGGGGTCTGTCACCTTCTCGTTTCTATGGAGATGTCATTGTTCTACCTGGAATGTTCCACAGCATGACATTAAACAGCTCTACTTTATATTTATTCAGTTACAGATGGTTTTATAGCTCAAAAATACCTAGAAAAACAGGCGTTCTGAACCAAATTCCAGAGAAAGCAGTAACATCTCCATGGAGAAACAAATGTGATGGGCCCTCCACGAGAAAAGTTACACAATGCACCTTTAAAAATACTATAGGATAATGTACAGTTGATAAAGTAATATTTGCAAATACTAAGGATTATACGTTCATGCAAGCTGCAGACCTAAATATGTTCTAGTGTGACTGCATCAAAATAGATTTTCATTTTGGTTATTTCCTATAAAAATAATCAACGTACAAAAATACTCGCTCCCATTCATCAGTTATGAGTTATTATTAATCAATGTTTTACCAAGGAAGCTTTGTTCACTGAAACTTGTTTTTCTTCTGAATTTGAACTTGCTAAAAATGATCAGGTTCATTTATAGATTTTGCTTTGAGATATTTCTGAAACGACTGTATTTGATAAGGGAATAGTTCCATCACAAATTCAAATCTGATTCAACTCAACAACAACATTACATGTGTGTGGATAGGCCTGCCTCGTGAACATGATCGTCAATTGTCACTTGATATGACTAAAAATGATCAGGTTCATTTATGGATTTCCCTTGGATATTTATTTGTTTTGTTGTATTTTATATATATATATATACTGTATTTCTGACAATACTCTATAAAGGAATAGTTCCACCTGCTTCTTCTCAAATTCAGATTCATGAGTGTGGATAGGCCTGCCTCATGAACATAATAGTCCTTGATATGACTAAAAATGATCAGGTTCATTCATGGATTTTCATGGATCTCTTTGTTTTGTTGTATTTTAAATATGATATATTTCTGACAATACTGTATTTGATAATTTGATAAAGGAATAGTTTCACATGTTTCATTGCATGTGTTTGTGGATAGGCCTGCCTCGTGACATAATAGTCCTCAATATAACCAAAAATTATCAGGTTCATTTGTGGATTTCCCTTGGATATTACTTTGTTTTGTTGTATTTTCTATAGAGAAAGTATATTTCTGACAATACTGTATTTGATTATTTTGATAAAGGAATAGTTTCACACGTTGCACAGTGTTTGTGGATAGGCCTGCCTCGTGAACATAATAGTCCTCGATATGACTAAAAAATTGTATTTTTATATATATATATATATATATATATATATATATATATATATATATATATATATATATATATATATATATATATATATATATATATATATATATATATATATATACAGTATATTTCTGACAATACTGTATTTGATTATTTGATAAAGGAATAGTTTCACATGTTTCATTGTGTTTGTGGATAGGCCTGCCTCGTGACATAATAGTCCTTGACTAAAAATGATCAGGTTCATTTGTGGATTTTCCTTGAATATTTTTTTGGTTTTGTTGTATTTTATAGTTGTATTTCTGACAATACTGTATTTGATAAGAGAATCATTCTAAGTGTTTCATTTCAAATTTAGATTCATGTGTGTGGATAGGCCTGCCTCATGAATATAATAGTCCTCGATATGATGAAAAATGATATTTCTGGATGGATATTTCTTTTTTGTTATACTTCTGAAGTCGTGTACTTGATAAAAGAACAGCTCCACCCGTCTGGTCCGTGTATAAACTTTACCCCGCCCGTTCTCGTGTGAGTGTCTGGACCTACCTCCCAGTGCGTTCTCCTGTTTGGGACAAATTCCTTTAGGGGGCGTCCTCTCCGCCCTCTCTCCGCCCGCTCCTCTCCCCGTCTCCTCGTCTTCTTCCGGGGTCACCTGGATCCCCACCTCCACGGGCTCCAGCACCTTCTTCAGCTCCACCCTCTGATGATGATGATGGTGATGGAGACTCGGCATGTTCGGACTCCCGCCTCCTCCGCCTCCTCCGCCTCCCCCTCGGTCGGCCATTTTGTCGTAGCAGCCGTTGGCGAGCAGCGGCGGCGTCTGGCATTGCTTCTTCTTGTGCTCGATGAAGAGGAGGATGTCGGCGAGCGGGAACGTGAGCTGGCACTGCCCGCAGGTCAGCAGGTCGTGGTCGTCGTGGAGGCCGGGCGGGAGGGCGTGGGCCAGCGCGGGGTCCAGGTGGGGCAGGTGGGGGGGGCAGGGAGGGGGGCAGGCCGTGGGGGGTAAGGCGAGCGCGTGGGGGTGGGGGTGGAGGGCGTCAGCGAGCAGGCCTCCATCGGGGTGCTCAACCTCTGCAGAAGGACAGAAGAAGAAGAGAAGAAATTAGAATAGAAATTAAAAAGACATAATAACCTCAAAATAGAATAAGAGGGACACAATATTGACAACAAATAATATACCACATCTTTATTTGGATAAAAAAAAAAAAAACATTTCTTGTCTGTTTGATGTTGTGACACTGTTGGTGTCTTTTTATACTTTATGAATAAAATAAATAAACAAATAAATACATAAATAAATTAATTAATTTTTTAAAAAATGTATTGTATTTATTATTTATATAATTTTTGTTTAATTGTTATTTTATTATATTATTTTATTATTATTTTTTCATTTATATTATTATTATTATTATTATTATTATTATTTTATTTATTTTGTATTTAATTGTTTTGTTGTTGTTTTTTTTTTGTTGTTTTTTGTTTTTTCATTAGCCTGATGATAATATTTGGTCAATATCATGTCAGTCCATCAGAAATTTGTTAAAATGTCCCTATAAAAGTTGTGGTTTTGGTTCAAGTGTTACACAAAACGTGAATTGGCTGCAAATTTAAACACAAAACTACAGACGTATCACTTTTTTAACTTAATTTCTTTCTCGTTTGTAATTTTTCATTTAAAATGTATTCTACACTGCAAAAAGTAATATCTAGCTAAGTTAAAATGACAAAATTAAGAACATTTGACTTTATTTGAGTAAATTCAACATGACATGTAAAATGGAACAAGTGTGTTTTTCTTAATTCAAGCAACATTCGATTTTCTTATTTTGAGTGCAAAGAGTTGTTGTTTTTCTTATTTTAAGTGTAGCAAGATGTATTTTCATATTTTAAGTACAAAAAGTCTTGTTCCATTGTTGGATAATTTTTGTTGTTAAGTGAAATTTACTCAAATGATCAAGTTGGATCATGATCAAACTTGATTAATTCAAGTCATCTTAACTTGGCTAGATTTTAGTTTTTGCAGTGTATTTGCAGCTTTATTTCAATTTTCCATATCTCCAAAAACACTTCAAATCACAATTTTTTAATATAGAAAATAAAAATAGAAAGTAGTTTTGGTATTATATAAAAAACTACTCTTAAAAACTGTAAAACATATTTTGATGAGACGACGATTTTGATGTTTTTTTTTAAATGTTTTTCTTTTTCGCAAGTTGTTCCCAGTTGATTTGACGTGTCTTGCCCACAAGCACAACAACAGATGACGCACGAGGTTCAGACCACACACCCTCTGGTTCACGGGTGCCACTGCAGGCCCACGTATCTCCTCCTCTATTTTTCACAAACATCATTTCCTTCCTGCGGGTCCCGGTGAAGCATAAATAATGTCATAATATTGTAATGACAAACTCGATAACAACTTTCTCTTTGTCACTTCGTACGGAGAGATGGAGTGGAGAAGTTTGTGTGAGGTTCTGGCGACGCAACAAAACAGATAAACACGGAGGAGATAATGCTCGCGCTCTCTCTCTCTCTTTCTCTCCGTCTCCTCCTGTCTTTACTCACTCTCTCCTTATGTCCTCCACGCTCTCTTTTTTTCTCTCTCCCAGGCTACGTGTCTTCGCCTCCCTCCTTCGGTTCCTCTTCCTCCGTCTCTTTCTTTCTCAAACTCCATCACTTTTTCCTCTCTCTCTTCCACCTCTCTCCCTGTCCCTCTCTTTCTTTCTATCTCTCTTTGTTACTTTTCCTCATATCCCTTTCTTTCTCTCTCCTCCCTCCGTGCTCCCTTCTCTTTTTCCTTTTCTCCCCTTATTCCACTCCTTTATCTCTTCCTCTCTCTCTCCCTCCCTCCTCTTTCTCCCTGTCCCTCTTCCTCTCTCTCTCCTCTTCCTCTCACCCCTTTTCTCCTCCTCTCTCATTCTTTCTCTCTCCTCTCCCTTCCCTTCTCTTTCTCTATCGCTCTCCCTCTTTCTCTCCCTACTCCCTACTTTTTCTCACTCTTCCATGTTCTCTCTCTTTGCACCTCCCTCCGCTCCCTCCCTCCGTCTCCTCTTTCTCCCTGCCTCCCTCTATCCCTCTCTCCCTTCAAGTCCTCTCTCCTCCTCACCCTTTTTCCTCCTCCTCCTGCTCTCCCTCCGTTCTCTCTCTCACCCTCCATCTCTCTCCCTACTCCTCTTTCTCACTCTTCCATGCTCTCTCTCTTTGTACCTCCCTCTCTCCCTCTCCCTCCCTCCCTCCCTCCCTCCTCTTTCTCCCTGCCCCCCTCTATCCCTCCCTCTCTCTCCCTCCACCTCCTCTCTCTCTCTCTCTCTCTCTCCTTCACCTCTTTTCCTCTTCCTTCTCTCCTTCTTTCTCTCTCCCTCTTTTTCTCCTTACTCCTTTTTCTCACTCTTCCATGTTCTCTCTCCCTCCCTCACCTCCCTCCTCTCCTTCCATCTCCTCTCCCTTCCTCCCTCCTCTCTCTCTCCCCCTCCCTCTATCTCTCTCTCTCTTCCTCCACCTCCTCTCTCTCGTTCTCTCTCTCTCTTTCCCCTTCCCCTCTTTTCCTCTTCCTTCTCTCCCTCTCTCTCTCTCCCTCCTTCTCTCCCTACTCCTTTTTCTCACTCTTTCATGTTCTCTCTTTGCACCTCCCTCCTCTTTTCTCCCTGCCCCATCCCTCTCTCTCCACCTGCTCTCTCTCTATCTCTCCTCTCCCCCTCGTTTCCCCTCCCTTTCCCTCTCACCCCTCTTCCTCCTCCTTTTCTCCCTCTTTCTCCCTCCCTCTTCTCTCCCTTCTCCTCTTCCTCACTCCTCCATGCCCTCCTCCCTCCTCCCTCCCTCCTCTTTCTCCCTGCCCCCCTCTATCCCCCTCTCTCTCTCTTCCTCCACCTCCTCTCTCTCTCTCTTTCCCCTTCACCTCTTTTCCTCTTCTTTCTCTCCCTCTTTCTGTCTCCCTCCTTCTCTCCGTACTCCTTTTCTCACTCTTTCACGCTTTCTCTCTCTTTCCTCTCCCTCCACCTCCTCTCTCTCCATTTCTCCTCTCCCCCTCCTTTCCCCTCCCTTTCCCGCTCACCCCTCTTCCTCCTCCTTTTCTCCCTCTTTCCTCCCTCTCTCTTTCTCTCCCTTCTCCTCTTCCTCCCTCCTCCCTGCCCTCCTCTCCTCTCCCTCCTCTCCTCCCCCTCTCCCTCCCTCCTCACAGAAGATGATGGATTAGCAGCAGGTTGCCCATTTGTCTGTGGTCCACATTAGAAATGCAAACAGATTTGGGATGTCAAATGCAGATGAAGGGTCCAGATGGAGGGGCCCACCTCAGATACCTGCTTTAAGACGCTCGAAAACACAACACGCCCGATACATTACAATATTTACTACACGAGGGGCGGGGCTGGAGGCTGCTGCCATCACCGGGGCATCTGGCCTTTTTTATTCACACACACGTATTTTAATGTGCTTTTTAAATATTTGGGTTTATCAGTTAAACAGGAGCTCTGACACTAAAAGTCTACGGCGGGAGATTATGCGCTTGGTAAAAACGTCCGACCGCAAACCACAAGCTTGCCAGTTCAGTTCAGTCCAGTCCGTCATTAAAATGTATACAGTATTTTATGAATACTACAAACTTTGCATACTCTATACTTCAGCAACTTTTCCACTGCTGCGATGTAACAAAATCCAAATCTCTCTGTACGATATTATCACAATATGCATCTCTCTGTACGATATTATCACAATATGCATCTCTCTGTACGATATTAACATGATGCGCATCTCTCTGTACGATGTTATCACAATACGCATCTCAGGGTACGATATTATCATGGTGTGCATCTCACGATACGATATTATCATGATATGCGTCTCACGATACAATGTTATCATGATATACATCTCACGGTACGATGTTAACATGATATGCGTCTCACGATACGATGTTATCATGATATACATCTCACGGTATGATATTATCACAGTGTGCATCTCACGGTACGATGTTATCATGGTGTGCATCTCACGATACGATGTTATCACGATATGCATCTCACGGTACGATATTATCACAGTGTGCATCTCTCGGTACAATATTATTACGATGTGCATCTTTCTATACGATATTATCACGGTGTGCATCTCTCGGTACGATATTATCACAGTGTGAATCTCAAGGTATGATATTATCACAATATGCATCTCACGGTACGATGTTATCACGGTATGCGTCTCACGGTACGATATTATCACATTGTGCATCTCTCTATACAATGTTATCACAATATGCATCTCAGGGTACAATATTATCACGGTGTGCATCTCTCGGTATGATATTATTACTATATGCATCTCACGATACGATGTTATCACAATATGCATCTCGCTGTACAATATTATTACTATATGCATCTCACATTACGATGTTATCATGATAGGCATCTCACGGTACGATATTTATTGTGATATGCATCTCACGGTACAATGTCATCACAATATGCATCTCACTGTACAATATTATCACGATGTGCATCTCGCAGTATGATATTTATTGTGATATTTTGTCATAGTCCCAAGAATTCAAGTAAAAAAGATATCATATTTTTAAAATTTGTATGTGTTTCAAGTAGGGATGTATCGATATCCAAATCTCTCGGTACGATATTATCACGATATGCATCTCACAGTATGATATTTATTGTGATATTTTAATTGCACGAAAATATTTTGTGGAAGGTATTGCAAGTAGGGATCAATATCCAAATCTCTTGGTACCATGATATGCATTAAAATGCCTTTTTGCCTTGACAAGACTTAATCTAAAGAACTAAAAGTGACTTTAAAAGTGCTTAGAACTGTTATTTCTTCTTGTAGTCTGCACTGAAATGGAGCAAAGGATCATGGTCAATGTAGTTCCCTCTGTATTTTTTTAGCTATTGTTGCAACATAACTCTTCATTTAAGCAAAGAGGCTTGTAATTTGATATATTGTGAGAACTTTGACGATACTATATCACGATATTTCGGTTATTACATACAATACTTACAGACCCCGTGGAATTGTTTTTGATCATCTTGTTGAATTTTGTGACTATATTTGAACAC